ACCAGAATAAGGACGGTTGTAGGGGAGCAACCTGATTACTGCTGAATGTATTCAGAGTATACAGTCACCAGGTTACTTGAGTGCATTCAGAAGTATTCCCCGATGACCTGCATAACCTAGTTGTACTGTTTTTCTAAATGTTAACACATTGATTGAACAGAAAGCAACTACACATTGCAACAGACACGTAGGAAGGGAAGATTGTGCAATGATTTAGCAAAAGAAAAAAACGTTGAAGAACCACAGACAGTGAATGATCCAACTTCACTTCTCTGCACCTCAATGAGCTGAAGTCCCTCTGCAGACACTATGAAGAATGTGTGTGTTTACACATGAGGCCTGAAGTAGTATTTGTAGTATTAGAATGAGTGCCAACCCAGCTGCTAAGCCTTTCCGGCAGCAGAGCTTCACCATCGCTCTATAATAAACTCTCCTGATGGGCAGAGAAATGTCTGCAATGTGGAGAGGCAAAGAGCCAGCTGGTAATGTGTGCCAGGACTAAACGTGGAGAAGAGATATCTGAATATCAGACGCCTGTAGGGTGGAAACTAAAGGGTGCTACCCTCATTGATTAGTTTGATAAGTAGTTTGTTTTTCACCTCAAAAACATCTTTGGCTTATTGTTGCTTCACTCGGATGTTATCAAACAAAATCAAGCAATCTGATTGGTTGTTAGCCGTGATATAATGAGCGTATATCACGGGTAAAATTGTAGTTTGCAGTATCCCTCCGCGTCTGAGAAACACCACGCCCCTTAGCTGTGATATAATGACCATATACCACGGCCTGTAGTGAGCTATTGCTTAAATATACCATTGGGCATGATTGGTGACATCACAGATATAATTAAAACGTGGGTCCAATATGCAACTTACACAAGTGTCCTGTGGAAACATCTTGTGTCCACGTGACATAGATTCAGGATTTTGCAGTGAGGAAAAAGTAGTGTATGTGATTCTAAAAAGGTTTAATCGAAAACAGGTTTTTTTTTTTTCTACATGGCTCAAACTTCTCTGGAGTTTTCCGTTTAAGGAATTTGGTCAGAAAAAAGTAATGAGGTGGTTAGAGAATTGTGAAAAACTGTGAATAAAAAGACCCACAAGCCTAGAGTGCTGTATTGCAATTGCTTTTCTTGTATAAAGATGTAAGATATTTACTACAGTATAATGTCATGCAAGAAAAAGCCAAGAATCCTCACACAGGGAAAGTTACAAACATCGAATCCTTGGTATTTTGTCTCGAACATTCACTGAAATGATCATTTAATCATCAAATGAATTGCTTTGTAACTTGACGAATCGTTTCAGCTCTAGTTGTTTGTAGAACTTGTTTGCTCTTACAAACAATTGTCAATTGATTGGTACTATTTCTTTTATAAAGTAAACTCTTAATTGAAATGTGATGTTTCCTGTGCAGCAGCGACCACTTTAAAAGTTGCTTATTCAACTCGGGATAACATCAGTCACTCTAATAATCACAGTAGAGTATTTTGGTTCGTACTTGGCGTCCAGCTCGGCCTTCTCTCGGACGGCCTGAGCCATGGTCTCGGCCTCCTGGTATTTCTTCCGGCTCTTCGTCAGCTCCTTCACGGAATCCTGCAGCTCCGCTTGAACCACCGTCAGCTGATCAATACACTGAGGATGGAGACATTTAAGTTTTACATTTAAGGAAATTATTATTATTCCTGCAATGCATCACCTGAAAAGTATGCAAATCCCTGTGTGGTGAGTGGTGTCAGGATGGTGCGGGATATAGGGGTGCAAGAACTAATCGACTTAATCGATTAAAATCGATGACCAAATTAGTTGCCAACTAATTCAGTCGTCGATTCGTTGGTGACGTCATCACGTGTGTTTTACGCGCCGTTAAGCTCCAACGTTATCGATCTTTTTATCGGTAATGGAGACATTTAAAAAATATATGTCATGTATTATTGCTAAATAAACATTATATCGCAGTCTTAGTGTCGCCAACTTGTTTCTAATATGCAAAAAGAAAACAAAAATGCGTCTATGATGTATTTTCGATCAGACGAGATCTCTCTCCCCCGTCTGTGTGCGAGGGGGCGGGGCAGTTTACACACACATGCAGCTGCTACATGCAGCAACACACTGCGGAGATGGCGGAGAGAACGCGCTCCGAGGTGTGGTTAAACTTCACCCGTCTTGATGCGGGTAATGACTTACG